TCAAGGAAATCTCCAGTGATAACTTCAGGTTGGTAGAAGGAAACTTCTTTTTCATATTACTGAAAGTAGACTGTTTATTTAAACTGTTAATCTTGTATGAATCCTGATTTTAGACTAATTGATGAAAACTCTGTACATCACACAACTGAAAAAGTAAAGAAGGCTCAACAGTCATGTAACTAACTCAGGTGCTGCCGTTAAGTCTATGCTTACCGTATGCCTTGTAGTGTGACAGTTTAAAATTACAATGGTGGTAAAAATAATTTTGCAATCATTCCTCACAATTTACATCCGTTACAGGGTCCTACATTCATCTGATTGTCATTTGCATAATTCACAACTGCCGTTGCATCTTTGACTGTCCACAGCATCCCTATCATGTGATTGCCGTTTGTCAATTTCACAGCTGGTTTGGCACAAGCAGATTTAATATGGAAGATGGAAATAAAATCTTAAAAGTTGTGGTCACTTGATTTTCCTGTTTAATGACTGTGTGTCCAGTCTCGATTGTGGTTGCTAAGTGAGGACTACCTGTTGTACTATATAAATGTGGTTATAGTATCTCAGCCTATAGTATTTCAGGGGCTATTTCCTTGATCAACCGGTACAGAGAAAATAGCTATTTAGAATATTTATTTCCCTTTCATAATTCCCAATTTTCTACGTAAACTTTTATCTCTCTATGCTAACTGAGTCTGAATCAAAATTTGGTCAACCTTTCAGTCAAGATTTCAGTCAAAATTAAGCCAAGAATTGCTGCCAATTCTTCTTGGTCTTTAAAAAAGCCAAGATAAATGTGTGGCTAGGTGTTGCTAGGGAAAATGCCTCATTTTATAGAATCAGAACAAGCCTGGGGCTCCCACTTTTCCTATGTTTATCATATTTAAGGCACGGATTATTCATATATTCTCAGAAGAACTGGCAAGATCAGTAAAAGGCTGACTAGGGAGCAACAATCCCCAGCCTAGTTCCACAACACGCAAATGTGACTTAAAAAAGGTTTACTATTTTCACTTTAAAACTTCTCTTCACTCACTGAGGCGCTCCAGCTTATAATATTTTCAGCAATTTTTCTCAGCTATGTAACTTGAGCCCCAATATATGCTTTTTCGTAAGCAACAATACTAACTCAGCAACTCCATTTCAAACGTAAAGAAATAACAGACTCGGACCACATACCTCATGCAAGGCACAGGGTTTGTACAGGCACTGCTTCAAATCTATCTAGTTTTACATATATCACCTTTTTTTTCTGACCACAGGAGCTTTCAAACCATCTGTTCTTCTATCCAGTTAGACAACATAGGGGTTCAATAGCTTCTGCTGTATTTAAACTGCTGTTAACATTGAGAGATAAATGTATTCCACATTACACAAACATTGGCTTCTTGGGGCATATCCAATAAATTTCTAAAAGCTCTTTTATGGGAATGCTACCCATATATACTGCTCTCAGGCACAAATCTTTCATTATTTTATAGAAGAGCACTTGTGGTGTGCCTCGGAGAAATCTCCCAAGAGACAAAAATCTGAATCTCCCAGAAGACCTTCATCCCAATGAATAATCTAATCTAAGTACTTCAATTAGCTTCGTCCCATCTCTTATCTAAATCTTCAACCTGCAATCAAAATATGTCCTTAATCTCCAACAATAAATGGTTCAGCCTCATGTGCCCGATGAGAAGGTCAGAAATGTCTCCTGATTATTATTATTTATTTGCTGTTTAGGTTTATATTGAAGCAAAAGGTTTGTGATTAAGTTAGTGTCTTAAAACAAGCATTAGTTCCCCTTCAAAATTTTCATTTTTGTGTTTTCTCTAAACTGGAGAAGCAGTTCTCGCATGTCTAAGTCCTAGGTTCAGCAGTGTACAAATTCTGCCCAATATGTATCCTTAGTGATATAAAGCTATAAAAAATATTCCCTTGAAGAATAGGAATTAAAAGTGTAAATTATCACTAGTCAGATCAATTAAGCAAGATAACATTTACTGAAAGAAAAAAACCCTTATTTTAAGATTTATATTTTATATCTATCAGAAATGCTTTAAAAACAAGAGCATTTTGGTGATCCCAAGAGAAGTCTGCATTCTCACAGCCTGGTCTGCACATAATATTAAAGATTTATCTTATAAACTAAAAGAATCAGTAATCCAAAGAATCCATGTTACAGACTAACATTACATCTTTATTTGATTAGTTTTTCCACTTCTTGACAAAAGTATAAATGAAATTAAGGACATTAATTCTCTTTCTGGAGTGATACTAGTTCTACTGCACTATTAAAAATATTTGTACATTAAAACCAGATGGATATTAGTTATAGGCCATCAAGCATTTGACTTTGACTATACTTTGAAAAATATTAAGAAAGCATTGCTCTAATAAAAATATTTAGATTATCAAGCTTTTTTGTTTTTAAAGAATGGGTTAAATATTTCTTCCTTTAGAAAATACAGCACTGCAAAAAATTCTAAATAGGTATCATATGAACCATAAGAATTAAGACAGTTTTAAGAATTGTATTGCTGTGGTAAGAAAAAAAAAGATGCAGCATGTCTGCATTAACAGACTAGGAATATTGCCTTTATCTCCATTAGGGTCCTGTCTTATGGATATATAAAAGCCTTTTCTTGGCATAACTTCCCTCTTCACAATGACCACCCACACCTCATTCTTAGCCTTGGAGGCTCTTTAAATCCTTGTTTTGCATTTTAGTATTTTGCACTTTGTTGCAATTCATGCTTCTCACCAGGTACCTTATAAGCATATTCCACACATACCACAAAACTATTCTGGCTGGCTGTGAGAAACCTGCAGCTTTTATTGCTGCATCATTTTGCTTCAGTGAACATCTCATCTAAGCATAATTGGGCCAGGGGAAAAACAATAACAACCAAACAAACATTAGTTGGGGATTTAAAGTCAGCCGAGGGACGGCAGCAAGTACCAAACACAAGTGGCATTGTTAATTCTGAGAGCTTGCTAGGAGGCATGATGGAGAGCACCACATACTTCATGCTGAAGTTGAGCTGGCTCTGGAAAGTGATGGGACACTATTACAAAAGGAAAAATTGATCTTATACAAGAAAATATTGCAAACATGTATTTCCGTAGATATGGATGTATTATTTGTAAGCAGTGGGTGCAAGTATGCAGGCTCCAATGTTTCTTCAATCACGTAGCTAACTAGTCTGTCCTTCACTTCACCTCTCAACTTCCAGTTTCAGCGTTTTTGCTCTGGATCTGACATAGAATATTAACAGCACAAAACTGCCAACCATCTCTCGACAGAGCTATCGCCCTCAAGACTGATGGCTCTCCAAGATTAAGAAGCCCAACTCTGATGTACTAATAATAACAGAGATAGTTTATGCTACTGTAGGGAGGAGACAAATCAGTAATGTCATCTTCGAAAGCTTGGAGGTAATTAGGTGGGATTCCAAAACCAGAAAAGAAGAAAGCCAGAAGAGCTGCTGAATTGTAGAAAAAACAAAATGAAATGGCATCCTGTGGCTTTATTAGTTCTGGTTAGCATTGATAGGGTTAGTGGTTGTATATCAACATAGATTCTTTTTAAATTCTGAAAGGCTGGTATTATGTTTACTTCAACGTCATTCATGTAAGAGAAAGATCATGGGGGTAAAATACACCAGCTGAGGTATTTGACATAATATCTGAAATGCAAATTCAATGAATTAAAAATGTGAAATATTTTAATCCAACTAAAAAAGACATAAAAACCAAAGATTTAATAGGCTCTTGGAAATGCCAAGAAACAAAAGTACTCAAAACTATATCACTAATCAGCAGATATCTGCTTTGGAGCGGAAAAATATACAAAAACAATTTATATCCTCAAATTTTAAAAAAGTAAACCATTGAGGGCAAAGGGCAGAAGAGCCAGAGAGTGAAAGAGAGATTTCTGGAAAGAAGGAGGATAGCTGGCAACAACAAAAACAAAAAAATGGATTCTACGCAGCACTAACTATGAAGGTTTCTTGGTTCTGGGAAAGCCGGAATCTGTAATGGTGGTAGTCCCAAAACCACTGAAAAGAAGAACAAAAAGAGACATGCCTTTCTGACAGAAATGGCTTCCCCAAAAGACTAAAGTGAAAGCGCATCACGCCAAACAGAATATCAGCTAGTGTAATTAACTCCTTACTTAATTCTAAGTAAGAAAGAAATACAGAAACAGCACTGCAGACATTTCGCCAACATTACAGACCACAAACATATATTTATTTAGAAGAAAAGAACCTTTAGCATGCACAGCTGGGTGCACATAAAACAGGCTGATGTTTTATGACTAACAGAATAATGGAGTGGGAAGGGATCTTGGAGGTCTTGCAGTCCAACCCTTACTCAAGCAGGAAACCCTATATCATTTCAGACAAATGGTTGCCTAGTCTCTTAAAAACCTTGTTACGCAGCCACAAATTTTGAGGTAAGGTGTTCCATTGATTAATTGTTTTCATTGTCAATTAATTTCTCCCTAGTTCTAGGTTGCTTCTCTCCTTGATTAGTTTCTTCCCATTCTTATCCTGCCCTCTGGTGCTTTGGAGACTAGATTGGCACACACCCCTTCTTGGTGGCAGCCCCTTAGATATTGGAACACTGTTATCATGTCAACCCTAGTTCTTCCTTTCAACTTTACTACCATAAGGACTTTACCCTTCTTATAAGAAAGGATATGAAGTAGGAAGTAGGGGAAAGCAAACTTTCTTTAATGAAGAACTGCTTGAAGTACTTTACATGAATGAAAGCAAAACTAAGAACTTGCCTTGCTTTGCTAACAAAAAAAAAAAGCACAAGGTTGTAAGCTTTGAGTTGTACCAAAGCCCATTTACTCACGAAACTCCTGATCCAAGCTACTCCTTCCCTTCAGATCATAAGTAAATGAAGCCATCTATGGCTTGTAAGACACAAGATAAACTATGTATCTTTAATGGTCTTCACAGAAGTCATATGTTAACAGAGATGTGTAAGTTATGAATAGTTACCTTATAGAAGACATCAGGCACATATTGTTCACTGCTGGATTCCTTTGCATAGCCGAGTTCTGGAGCATCACGGCATGGCAACAAACATTCATCACGTACTAGAGCCATGCATTGATTGGATACTTGGTAGCCCTCAAAGTGGACTTGGTTGTCAGGACCCCCTGAAACAGAGATATTTTAAGAAGAGAAGTTTGACAGAGTTAGGTTAGAACACACTTCAAGCTGCTAGATGGGTTATCACTGATTTTATGAAGAACATGTTATTTCATTAAGAAATTCAGCCTCAATTCAGAGTTTATGGTCCAGACAGAACAGACTTTTTCTAGAATCTTGGCTTATAAGTTTTCAAATGAGGAATGATATCGCACTATCCAAAGGATTTACCATATACAGGGGATTGTTTTAAAGATACATTGTTCATTAGACAATAATGCACAGAACATCATATATCATATTTACATCATTCCTGAAAGATTAAATAAACTGATTACACACACACACTGTGAAATAGATTTTTATAAAGGTAGCATTGAGCATTGTGTCCTCCCCAATTCTTATCCTACAACCTGTTCACAATACCTTATCTAAGATCAAACGGGCATTTATAAACATGTACCGGTAGTCCTTGCTTAATGACAGTAATAGCAACTGGAATTTCACTAAGTAATGTGCCATAAAATGCAATGCCACTTGACTACATCACTTAGTGGATGCAATCCTGGCAGTCCCCATTGCTGTCATTTCTACTTTTATTCTTTATTCTTTATACTATTCTTTATTATTTATTTGCCACCCAACTCCCAAAATTTAATTGTAACTAGAATCCAACATATTCAAATACAAAGGTTCTCAGTTGCAGCTCCGACGCTATGGAACAATCTCCCCGTGGAGATCCGCACCCTCACCACCGCCCAGGCCTTCC